ATGAGACCAGCAAAATCTGACATGTTTCTATTAAAAGAAGGAAAATAACAGACCAACCTTACTTGTAAACATAACACAAAATATTAAACAAAAATTTACTACTACTCTATATTCAATGATATATAAAAAGGCCAGTATGTCATGATCAGGTTGGGTTCATGCCAGCATTGCAAGGTTGGCTGAAGAGTGGAAAACCAATCCATGTAATTTACCATATGAACAGAATAAAAGAGAAAAATCTTATGATCATCTCAACAGGTACAGGAAAAAATCTGATAAAACTCATTTCCAATCATGATAAAAACTCCCAGCAAACTAGGATTAGAAACTGAATTCCTTAATCTGCTAAAAGATTTGTTAAAAAAAAAAAAAGAAACAAAAACTCAGCAATCCTGTTGAGACACTGGTGAAGTGTTGAAAGATTTCCCTTTGAAATCAGGAACAAGATAAAGGTGCCACTACTACAACTTGTCTTCAACATTGTATTGGAGGTTCTAGCCAGTTGACTAAAACAAGAAAAAGAAGGATGGAAAGGAAAAATCAACTGTTACTATTCACAAATGATATAATTCTATGTAGAAGATGGAAAAGAGTAGCTAAGCCAGAGTGATACTGGCATAAGGTAGACAAACAGACCAATGGGATATAATATAGAGCCTAGAAACAGACTAATGCTATGTCAACAGTTGATTTATGACAAAGGTGGTAATGTAGAACAAGGTATTTTCAACAAGTAGTGCTGAAACAACTGAATACTCATACTGGGGAAAAAAAAAGAAACCTGATCTCCACACCATAAGTAAAAATCAATTCCAGGTAACCTGTAGTTATAAATGTGAATGGAAAAACTCTAAGGCTTCTAGACGATAATACAGGAGATCTATCTTTATTGTTGTTGTTTAGTCACTAAGTCATGTCTGACTCTTATGACCCCATGGACTGTAGCCCACCAGGCTTCTCTGTCCATGGGATTTCCCAGGCAAAAATACTGGAGTGGGTTGCCATTTCCTTCCCCAGGGTATCTTCCCAACCCAGGGATTGAACCTGCATCTTCCGCGCTGCAGGTGGATTCTCTACCATTGAGTCACCAGGGAAGTCCAACAGTATATAATTGTATACCAGAGTTTATTCTACAATTAGTAGAGTTGTTTCCAGTTTGGGACTGTTTTGGGTAAGATTGCTATAAAATGTCCTAGGTGGACATGTAGATGAATTTCTGTAACGTACTCATCTAAGAGTGGAACTTCTAAGTCCTCAAGTATGCATATATTTAATAGATAATGAAATGCCAGGCTTTTCCAAAGGTATTAAGTGTTCGTTGCTCATTCGTGTCCTACTCTTTGTGACACCATGGACTGCAGCCTGCCAGACTCCTCTGTCCATGGGATTTTCCAGGCAAGAATACTGGAGTAGGTAGCCATTCCCTCCTCCAAGCCAGGATCTTCCCAACCCAGGATCAAACCTGGGTCTTCTGCATTGCAGGCAGATTCTTCACCACTGTGTCACCAGGGAAGCCAAAGGAATTGTACAAAATCTATTCCAGCAGCTTAGGAGAGTTCCCATAGGAGTTCTGACATGTTATTGTCAGTCCATTTAGTTTTAAATAAATAAATATGGGAAGTATCCTATGAAGTTGGAATATTTTGTACAATCCCTTTGGAAAAGTCTGGTATTTCATTATCTATTAAATGTACGCATTTTTGATGACCTAGAAATTCCATCCTTAGATGGGTATGTTACAGAAATTCATCTATATGTCCACCTAGAGACACATGCAAGAATATTTATAGCAATCATATCCACAACAAAAAACAAACTGGAAACTCCATTAATTGTAGAAAAAACCTTGGTACACACATTCAATGGAATACTATACAGCAAGGAAAATGAACATACTGCAACTACATGCAACAATATGAATGAATCTCATAATGTTGAGTGAATGAAAGCAGACACAAAAGAACACAATATATCATACTATTCATATAAATGCAAAAAACAGGAAACACATACATGCTTTATTGATAAACATAAAAAACCAAGGAAATGTATATCATAAAACTCAGGACAGTGGTTACCTTTGACAGGTACAAAGGGTGAACTGACTGGGAGAGGGCATAAGAGGAACTTCTGGGGTGCTGGCAACCCTCTATTTTTCAGTCTAGATGGAAGTTACATGATCTATGATAAATTATACTTTGGTTTACTTCTCATTTCCTAATAAAAATGTATAAAATTCAAGAATTCCTTCACTCAAGGATCACTAATTAACTCTGAAGATAAGCGATGAAAATCAGTGCAGTAAAGAAATTTGGGGCATGTTTCAGGAGTTAATTTCACTTTTCTGTGCTTCATATTAGAAGAGATGTTGTAAATGCAAATAAAGGGAACTCTCCATGGGGATCTAAGTTATTAAGGGCCAAGTTCCAGGATGCAGAAGTAATAAGTTTGTGGAGATGGCCCTGCTGCATGTGATTATCACTGAGGTTTTTGCCTTTGGAGGGAATCTCAACGGACCATTGTTGTTCAGTTGCCCAGTCGCTTCTGACTCTTTGTGACCCCATGGACTACAACATGCCATGCTTCCCTGTCCTTCACTATCTCTCAGAGTTTGCTCAAACTCAATGGACCATGCTTCGTGTGAAATATGTTTCTCTTAGGAAGGATGAAATAAGTAACAAGGCACTCTGCTTGAGCTTTGCTCTTGTAAGGGGAGGAGTTAGGAAATCCTTCACCAATGTAACCTACATCACACTTATTTCACTTAGTATCACAGTTTCTTCCCCACATATATCCCAATTCCTAACTAACTAATTTTATCATGTAGATGAAGCACAGGCTTAAATGCTTTTGCATCTCATACCACATTATTTAGTTATGTAATAGGCTCTCACCAAGTGTTTTTACTGCCTACATGTGTTTCATTACTGTGCACATATTTGAAATATATATAATCAGTTTTTCCAATGCTATAATAGTTTACACCAAAACTATAATTTTGGTTTATATCAAATTTTCCATCACCCAGGAAGTAAGATTTTTCTTATTGTTGATATTGGCAAAATTTATAAATTTTGTCTTCTGAGAGTTGGCAAGAAGCATGTTCAACCTCAAAATGGAAAAGACTGTGGGAATCAGTTAACTACATTTACATTTAAGGCATGACAGTTAGTATTAGATTGAGCTCTCTGGGACTCAAGCAAAAATTAATAGACCTGTCCTATTCCAAAAAGATTCTGAGGCAGTTGTTGCTTATACAGCATTCTGGCAAGAAATCTAAGACTTTTGGAGAAGGAAATGGCAACCCACTCCAGTACTCCTGCCTGGAAAATCCCAAGGACAGAGAAGCCTGGCCAGCTATGGTCGCAGAATCGGACACAACTAAGTGACTTCACTTTCACTTTCACTAAGCCTTTTACGTGATTGCAAGCAAACATGCTACTTGGTGTTTCAATACTGTTCTAGAAACATCTAGAAGGGTGTGAGAAGTCAAAGACTAGAGTTGCTGAATTCTGAAATTTAAGGAGTCTTTTTCCTTAGAGTATTCAGCAATTTACTTCTGCTGCTCCCTTTTCCCACTCCCAGTCTATCTCAAAAATACAGTGATTAGAAGCAGCAGCTAAACAGGACTGGGGCTCAGTGATTCTGTAGCTAGACTGGATGTTTAATGCTGAACTCTCTCTTTAAGATTTGGTGATCAGGTATACAAATCAAGTCCTCTTCACTGTTTACCTGAATTTTCTCCAGATTATAAATAGTTCTTTTGTATTGGTCAAATAACTTCTGGAATATCTTAACTCTTTTGCAGAAGAATGTGTTAGCATTCAGAAAGGAGGTGAACTCAATAGACTCAGAAAGCTTATGGCAATGCCTTCTCTTACCATTCCCAAGACTTACTTTTAAATTGCACCTTAGGCAAAAAGGAACTCTATTCTGATGGTTGAGGTCTGCAAGGTGGCTTATTTAAAAGTCTATCTGATTAACTGGCTGAAAATGGTTGTGGAGCACAGTCCTACTGACACACCTCCAATTTCACTAAGTGCCACTCTCCAGAAATGAAGTCAATTTGTAGATGACTGAGACATCTTAAGAATAGTTGTTGGGTAATTTTATCTTTGGGTTTCCCAGGTGGCTCAGTGGTAAAGAATCCACCTGCAAATGCAGGAGATGCAGGGTTGATCTCTGGGTCAGGAAGATCCTCTGGAGAAAGAAATGGCAATTCACTAAGTATTTTTGCCTGGGAAATCCCATGGACAGCAGAGCCTGGAGGGCTACAGTCCATGGAGCTGCAGAAGAGTTAGACAGGAGTTAGCGACCAAACAATAACAATTTAATCTCGAGCAATAGAAAACTTTCGCACTATTAGGAAAAGGAAGAAAAAAAGGGCGAAACACCCAGTAACCACAGAAAGGGAACCTAGGTTGCAACTCAGAATTAGTGTTTACTAGGTGCACGCTTTTGGGCAACCTAAGTGTCCCCGAGTCTGTTTTCTCATTTCAGTTTTTTCAAAGCTTACTTACTTGAGAACTAGCATTGAGCACAATGCCAGGCTCGAAGCAGGTGATGAGAAAATGACAGGAATTTGCTTTGATGGTTATAGGCAACCAATCAGTTTTGAGTTACTTTTTTAGTGACCCCCGCAGGGAGGGAGAGCAGAGGCAGAGCCCAGGAAATGATGGCGTTGGTTCGCTCGTCAGGTCCCCAGATGGTCCGAGGCGTCTGCTCCTGCTACCCCGGAGGTTCAGGCCACACCCGAGAAGACCACCCAGCGCACTAGGTCACCTCGGGGAGCGCTTGCGGTTTGGCTCCAGATGTAGCCTGACTCGGGCCAGGCCAATCCCGGGACAGCTCGAACTCACCTTCCTGACAGGTGTCAGTGGTCTGGGGCGTGACCGTGCAGGCAGGCGGCCGTGGTGGGCGGGAGCTGAAAATAAGAAGCTCCAGGCGCACGGAACCCGCCGCCCAGTCGCCGCGGTGGCTGCCGGGATGCGCCGCAGCGAATGGTCGCGCCGGGCGCCGCTCTGAGTGACCTTTCACCCGAGCCCAGCGGCCTCGGGCGGCGGCACAAGGCGAAAGACATGGCGGAGGCGGCGGCTGCGGCGGGCGGGACGGGCGCGGGCGCGGGCGCGGGCTCCGGGTCTGCAGCGGACCGGGACCGGGATTCGGAGCGGTACCGCGCCGGGCGGAGGCTGCGGGTTCTTTCAGGCCATCTGCTGGGCCGGCCGCAGGAAGCTCTGAGTACCAATGATTGCAAAGCGCGGAGAGCCGCGGCGACCGCCACGGCGGCGCCCACTGCCACTCCCGCAGCGCAGGAGTCGGGCATCATCCCCAAGAAGCGGTGAGTGACGTCTCTGTTGAGCCAGCCTCTGGTGAGGGACCAGGCCGGGCCTGTGCTGCGGGAGGGCACGGGCGAGGTGGGAAGGGAGGTGACACGGGAGTGGGGAAGGCATTCCGGTCCCTGAAAGTGCGGACCATCTCTCTTAAGAGAGCGTAGATGACAAAAGCAGGATGAAAGGGGTTTTGGTCACTATTTAAGAGTAATAAACCTGAAGAACTCTTATTGGGGAAGGCTTTCAGGGGACCTTTTTTCTTGGATTCATAATGCCAGAAAGTCCTTGTCTGTCTTAATACTTAGGGAGTTAGCGTCTTCGAATAAATAGAAGGGGTTTAATTATGATCCTCCAAGGAAGTTTGTCCCAAACGATGGATCTCTTCAAATTCTCTCTAGCTTGGGTGTGAGGGGGCAGTTCCTGGAAGAAGGTGCTGCTGCTGGTTTCTGGGGTGGATTTCTGCTTGCTTAGGGGCATGGTCTTTGAGGGAGGAGGACATCGAGGGATGGGAAGAAGCAATAAGTAGAAGACACTGCTAGTGATTTAGGGTGTGGTGGTAGCTACTGAGCTCTGCTGTAACCAGAAGCTGAAAGATCCTTGTTTGTGGGTGAGGTTGTTTGTAAGATATCTTAAGACTTTTTGGAGAACTGTTAGGCTCTGATGCAAACCACTAGGAAAAGCTTTTATTTGAGATGTGGCTTTGTCAGCACGGATAAACTTTGAAAGTGAAAAAACAGTTGCTAATGTTTAATGTGTACTTTCAATGGCAGAGACTGTGCTAAATCTAATTTATTTTACTCCTCTCCAAACTGTGAGTTAGGTGCAGTTATCTTTCATTTTGTAGATGAGGAAATAAACAAGATTTAGAAGCCTGCTCTAGGCTTGGCAGGTTCACTGTGTGCCTGGTTAGTTTTCCAAGTCTCGCCAAGCTGACTTTAGGGCCGAATTGTTAAACTGTACTGTTTCTGATGAATTCATTCATTAATTCAATATTCATGAGTCCTACTGCATACTCACTGTACTAAGAATGTAGAGATTTAAAAATGCAGTATTTACTCCTAAGGAACTGATAACCTAAGAAGATAAAGTTATAATACAGTATGATAAGAAAGTTAGCTGATAACCTTAGCAAATAGTCACTTAACCCAGTTTTGGGTATTTATTTATTAGGGCGAAGGCTTTCCGGGGTAGGGATTGCCTGAGTAAATCTTGAAGGTTGTTCTGGAAGTAGCCTGCCAAAGGAGAAAAACATTCTTGGTGAAAAAGCTGTGTTCACAAGTAAAGCAGTGAGAGGTTGAACTGCTAAGGGTTAAATGTTGCAGGAAGAGGTGAAGATAGCTTGGGATGAGGAACAGATAGGCTGGTCTTATTTACAAGATTTTATGTACAGTAAAACATTACATTTACCTTTAGAAAGGTCACACTGGGGATTGAGTTGAAGGTTTAAGCAGTTGAGCATATGGTTTTGGGGAACATAGATTTGAGTTTGAATTTCCACTCCACAATTCCAGCTGCGTGACCTTGGGCAAGTTACTTAGCCTCTCTCAGAGCTTTAGACCCCTCATCTGTGAAAATGAGGACAGTAAGTCTTGCTTTGCATTGTTGATGTGAGAAAGTGATCAAATGCTTAGTGCAGTGCTGATTTCATAATCCCTCAACAAATGGGAGATGCAGTTTTGATTGGGTCCAAGAGATTTAAAAGAATAAACCATTTATTTAGAAGACTAATATCCCAATGAGAAATGCTGTGATTCTGAACTCGGGCATAATACTGGGAATGGGCAATCTATTTGAAAAAGTATTAGGAGGCAAATTTTCCATAACTTGATTATTGAATGGTGGGGGAGGAAGGAATCAAGGGTCACATTCTGGCCTCTGGCTTCATTTGAAGTTATATTAGCTGTGATTGAATTTAAAACTTTAAAGTTTTCTAATGATTTAATGTACATTTATGTCCATTCTTTTGTGTGCATGTGTATGATTGTATATTTATATGCAGGTTCACACTCTTGAACTAAGTAGAGAGGACAAATGTTCCTTAGAGTTGGATTTAGGGCCTTTATTTCTGGCATTTAGAGAAAAATAGTAATGTTTGGAAGACACAATGGGGTAATGGATGAGACTTCCCACAGCTGAGAGTGCCTGGTCTGGGAGGCCTTCTGTAGCTGCTCCATGGACTGACGGCCCAACTGCATGTAATCTATGCCACTAACGGCCCTGGTGTTTTCTTCAGGATTAGACGTGGGAAAATCTAATCCTGTACAACTGTGTTAAAGTTTTAATAATAGTATGAGGGAACACAAAACTTGTATTACATGAAGCATCAAAAGCTCCTTCACAAGAGTGGTCTGCTTAATGTGTTTTTCATGGGGACCCAGGTGTCCCTTCTACTTCCTACTGCTTAGCTGGATCTCCAGAGAAGGCAATGGCACCCCACTCTAGCACTCTTGCCTGGAAAATCCCATGGATGGAGGAGCCTGGTAGGCTGCAGTCCATGGGGTCGCGAAGAGTCGGACACAACTGAGTGACTTCACTTTCACTTTTCACTTTCATGCATTGGAGAAGGAAATGGCAACCCACGCCAGTGTTCTTGCCTGGAGAATCCCAGGGATGGGGGAGCCTGGTGGGCTGCCGTCTGTGGGGTTGCACAGAGTTGGACATGACTGAAGCGACTTAGCAGCAGCTGGATCTCAGTTTACCAGCACCAGAGCAGAGCCAAAAGGGAAGGCAAGTGATGGAGCAGGAAGGAGCCAGTGTGTATTTCTAGTGAAGTGTGAATGTGACTGTATATCGTTATTTTGGAAGGATTTGGTCATGTATGTTATTTGTATAACTCCTTTTCTTTTATTACCTGGGATGATGTCATTGGTTGAAATTCTTTTATCTCATGGCTGGTTATCATCTTGGAATTAGAGGAGTAACTTCTTGAAACTTCATGTTTTTATTCCTCTTACAGGGTAGTCATGTATATATCAATTTACTTAACATTTATAGAGTAATTGCTTTATTTATTTATTTTTTTTGAGTAGTTGCTTTATGATAGATGTTGTTTTAGGTATTGGAAGTAAAGAGATAATAGTCCTTGGCCTCAAAAAATTCAATCTAGCAAGGGAGGTGCACATTCCAGCACATTTTGAATAGAGCCAGTGTAGATACAGATGTAGCACAGAGGAAAGAAAGAGTGATATATTCTGTCTAGGGCCTCAGAAGAAGCTTTCTGAAGATGGTTTTAAAATATGGACGATAGTGTGGCAGGTTGATTTGGTGGTGAGGAGTGTTAGTATTCCAGACAGAAGTCATAGCATATGGCAAAGCAGGAGGGCGGGAAGGTGCACCTTGTATTTTGGTAATTAGATGATTCAGTATTGGTAGAGGTGGGAGTAAGTTAAAAGGAGGGCATGAGCAGGTGGTCATGGAGGCCTTTGGCCTGTAGGTCATCAGTCCTTTCATTCTTTCACTCATTTATGTGTGAATGTTTGAGTGCTTACTATGCAGCATATAACAGTGAACAAAAACTCTACCCTTGTAGACTTACATTCTATTTGGAATGGAGATAGTGTAACAGACAAGTAATACAGTATGTCAGATCGTCATGTGACATAGAATGAAAAGAAACAAAGCAGCATAGGAGGGTGTTGATGGAGACCCCTTAAAGGAATTAAGCTGAGAAGGGATGTGATCAGATTGGATTTGGGTTGGAGAGCAATCACTGTAGCTGCAAGGTTAAGAATGGATTGGAGAAGGATGAGGATGGATATGGGAAGATCCATTCAGGGAGATTGTTAAAGCAGAAGAATAATGAAGGAAATAATGAAGGATTAATTCAAGATGATGGCAATGAGAATAGAGAAGAGGATGGATTTGCATTTTGAAAGTTTGTGCATTAGTTGATATTTAAAACCTGTTAACACTTGTCACATGATCTCTTATGAGTAGATTTTAACTACTTCTATCCAAGAACGTATATTGTCTTTATTTGAAGTTGTGGAGTAGAGTTTTGAGGATGATGGTTTATTTTCTGTTTCCCTGTAAGTGCCCGTTACTCCATGAACAATTTCTTTCTGCTCTTGGTTCTGAATGCAGTTTTAGATGCCTAAAAATCATAGTAAATGTCAGCCAAATATGTGACATTTTTATGCCTTGGTTTTGAATTTTTTTCAATTTTTTAAAAGTTATTATAGTGTTATGAAAAAGAAGGAAAAGAACCCTTGTTCGCATCTGTCCCTCCATTACCAATAACCACTTGCCCAGTTATAATTTTGACTCCAACCTCTTTGCACTTTGCATTAGTCAAAACTGTTTTGTGGCAATTTTTATAGCAGTTGTAAACTTTTTTTTTTTTACTTCTGCTGATTTTTATTTATTTTTATTAGTTGGAGGCTAATTACTTTACAGTATTGTAGTAGGTTTTGTCATACATTGACATGAATCAGCCATGGATTTACATGTATTCCCCATCCTGATCCCTCCTCCCTCCTCCCTCTCTACCCAATCCCTCCGAGTCTTCCCAGTGCACCAGGCCTGAGCACTTGTCTCATGCATCCAACCTGGGCTGGTGATCTGTTTCACTGTAGATAATATACATGTTTCGATGCTGTTCTCTTGAAACATCCCACCCTTGCCTTCTCCCACAGTGTCCAAAATTCTGTTCTGTACATCTGAGTCTCTTTTTCTGTTTTGCATATAGGGTTATCGTTACCATCTTTCTAAATTCCATATATATGTGTTAGTATGCTGTAATGTTCTTTATCTTTCTGGCTTACTTCACTCTGTATAATGGGCTCCAGTTTCATCCATCTCATTAGAACTGATTCAAATGAATTCTTTTTAATGGCTGAGTAATATTCCATGGTGTATATGTACCACAGCTTCCTCATCCATTCGTCTGCTGATGGGCATCTAGGTTGCTTCCGTGTCCTGGCTATTATAAACAGTGCTGCGATGAACATTGGGGTGCACGTGTCTCTTTCAGATCTGGTTTCCTCAGTGTGTATGCCCAGAAGTGGTA